CACCTGTCCTGCCCCGCCACGGCCCTCCCCCTTCCCCTCACCACCATGCCTTATGGATACGCAACCCCTCCCACCCCCCAAAGGTACTACCGCGACGCCTCCGACCCCAAGCCGCCCGCGCCCGGCTTCTACGTGGCCCAGCAGCAGGCCGCCAGCGTCGACGACCTGCCCGTTGAGGACAGCGGCCCCGCCCTGTACAGCGGCCTGTGGACCCACGTGTACTCCGCCGCCCTTCATGGGGTCGGCATCGACACTGTCATGTGGATCACAACCCGCGCGGTCAGCGGGACGGCCTGCCAGGCGTCGGGGCCGACGAACACGAGCACGTGCGTGCCGGCGATCTGGTACGGCCAGGTGGCCAACCTGCTCACCGGAGACCCGAGCTCGCCGCTGTTCGGGCCGTCGCTGAACCAGCAGGGCGTGATCTACCACTCCCAGATCAGCATGGCGTTCCCCACCGTGGCCATCAACTCCAACGGCTCGGCGCTGTTCCAGTTCTCCTACGCGAGCAACGCGTTTGACGACGTGGCAGGGGTTGTCGCGCTCGACGGGCAGGCCATCTGGCAGTTTCCAGGTGTGTGTGTGTGCGCGCCCACCATGGGGGCCTCGTGCCCACGAGGGGGGCTGCCGCAGGGGCGCCGGCGCAGGGCCTGGCGTGCGAATAGCTAGGCCCCTCGCAGTTTCAGAGGTGCAGGGCGCCCTGCCCATTGCAAAACCCGGTCCAGCCGCAGCGCAGAATTTTGCTCCGGGGCTAAGGTCGTCCTTGGCCGGCCCCCTCACTGCAGTGCAAAGCTCAACCGCACATATGGCTCGACCCCGCAGTTCAAATTCCTCTCCCTCTGCCCCAAGCAAGCGCCACGCGCCAGAGCCCGCGCGACGCACTTTGAAGCCGGTCCCCTCTCCTTGACGCCCCCCGCCCTCCCCCGCGCGTCATCCCCCAGGCGTGATGACGTACGGGCTCGACCTCAGCGACACGGGCCTGGGAGAGGGCCAGGCCATGCTCATCCGCCGCAACTCCCAGGGCGGCATCCACCTAAACCCCGTGCTGGACGGCAAGGAGCCGCCGCTGTCCTGGGGCCGCATCAGCGCGTCGGACACGGTCGAGCTGGCGGGCGGCAAGCGGCGGCTGTACGGTGCAGTCGTGTGGGCATTCAGCTGGAACTTTGGCCTGGTGAGGGTGTTTTGTAGGGTGTTGTGCCTAGTGCACTTTGTTGTGGGAGTCTGGCCTGGTTGATACGCATATGTGGGGCCGTCTTTTAGGAATATTTGCCTTGTATGCGCTTGTGACATCAGACTGCAGTCCTCCTTGTCTTTGGGGCTAGTGGCATGCCTGCGGTGCACGATGCTTGAGCACTGCCTGCTATTCCAGGGGCTGGAAGGCTATTTGGCTCTTGCAGGGCGCGCTGCAGCAAATCAAGCAAAAGAAGCAATAATTGCTTCGTATTTGAGCCCGCCTGATGCCCTTCATACTCCCTGATGTCGCTCCGCCTCTGCCTCTGTAGTACAACACGTCGCTGCCAAACTGCGTTCAGTGTGGTGACAACAATGCGGGGGTCTTCGTCTCGGTGACTGGAGGTGAGTCTCATTGCACTGGCTCGCAGCGGCATCATTGCTCAGTTACGGCATCACCTGCAAGTTGCCTTGCATTTGCAGGCGATGTTCTGAGCCTGCGCCTCCCCCGCCATGACACTGTCCCTGCCAGAAATATTCGCTTGAGCAGCGGCTGCCCGTGGAGGCCTCGCCCACCGGAGCGGCCGCACGCTCCGACAACATTCAGACACCATCCCTTTGAAGTTCTAGCCGACACGCTGCGTCCTTTGGATGGTTGGCCTTGCACCTGTACTGACGACGACGGCAATAGAGACTACCAAGATCAAAGGCGGCTTGTGGGTTCAAAGGACCCAAACCATCTTGCCATGGGTGGTGCTGGCGGCTTTGCATGGCGCGCCTTGCTTGCCGTGTTGGCATGCGTTCTGGGCCGCACCATCAGGGTGCGCGCATCACCTTGAGCCTTACAATTGCATTTGCTTTTGGTTAGCTGCAGTGGCGCACGCATCGCCCGCACCTGGTTCCCCCGAGGTGGCAGCTTCTTCACAGCGAAATCGTTTTGAGTCTGACGTTGCACCTCCTTGTTCACGCAGGAGCGTTTGTGCCGATTGGTACGTCTGCCGGATCCCACTAGCAACATCGTGAATTTGCCAAACATGTTTTTCATATTGGAGCATACACACTCACCTGGCCGTTGGTGGTGCTCTGCAGCACCCCCTTTCCCCGCACTGACGTGTGCGCACAGCACTCCACGGTGATAGTGAACATACACAGCCTCACCTTCTCATCATCGGTCCTCCCACCTCCTTCCTGCGTATTGAAACGAGGCTGCGGTTTTCGCCCATGCAGTTGACCTTGTGTTGCCACACACCTCCCTACAGCAGCGACACCTGGCGGCTGTCACGCGTGCGCTCCACTGGTGATATTTATCAGGGGCAGGCGTGCTGCTCAGGCACGCAGCCGCCGGAGAGTGTTGCGCCTCTGCTCCGCGTCTGAGCCGTGCATGGGCCAGGGCTGGGCTGGCGCCGGTTCTGTCTGCTGAGGATGGGCGTTTCCCCTTTGCTGTGGCGCATTGCCCACCATTGCTCTGCAATGCCTGGTGGATCAATGGAGTGTTGATGCTGGCAACTGTGTTTATTTGCAAGAGGACGTCTGAGTGGATGTAAACAGTGCAAGGGCGCTGGACACCTGCAATGCCCCAGCGGGGATCAAGCTTGGCAAGGCTGCAGGGATTGGCGGGTCCCCCTCAACTAGCCACTTCAGAGGATTACAGCGCAACCAGTTTTCAGTGAGTGGTGTCTTTTTGACCAGCAAGAGTTAATCGCGGCGTGTTGATGTCAGCCGCTTGCCACGCGTTCGCCGTCACCTGCCTGTTGGACTTCCAACCTTTCCCCGGACACTTCTGTTCACCTTTTTAGGTACCACCAACTTGTTTTGTGGGCCTGCAGCAATCACACTGGTTTTTGGGCCGAAGCGTTGTGCTCCTGCTCTGTGGCCGCTCTCATTGTAAGTGGCTGCCCTAGCAGTGCTGTCAGCTTGCACAAACGTAGCGGCCAGCCACGGGAACGGTTGCAGTGAGGAATGCACAGGACGTATACCATGCAAAGACGCGCTGAGTACCAGAGCACAAGCACAGATTTTTGCAGCTACAGCTGTTCAATATCCGCACACAGGGCTGCCGCGCGCTGCGCCACCCAAAAGGCCCTCCGGCGTTAAGAGGCCCCGCCACCGTCTGCCAGCAGCTCCTCCATCCACCGCGCAGCCGTGGCCGCGTCCCCGTCGCGGCACGCGCGGCACAGCCGCCGGTAGGTCATCCTCAAAAAGCGGCGCCGCCCCTCCTGAGACGCAGTCGCCGCCTCGACCGCGCGGCAGACGGCGTAGAGCCTCTGCCCCTTCAGGCCGAGGGCCCCTGCCACAGCCTCCACCTCATCAAAGGCCGCGTCTGCCAGGGGCGGGAGCAGGACGTGGAGGCGCTCAAAGTCTGGCGCACGCGAGGCGGCTGCTCATGGGTGCGTCATTGACTGGCTGGCATGTAAGGCCATGATCGCACAAGCAGTGCCAGTGTGTGTTTCGTGCGCTGCAGATAGCAATGCTGGCAGCATACGTGGACCACCGCCCACCAGACATCCCGCCCTGTCCATGCCACTCACATGCGGCCTCCTCCCAGCGGGCGCCATCGTCCCAGAGCGGCGGCGCAATGTCGCGCACCCCCAACGCCACCAGCCGCGCCCCCGCGTCGCCGTTGCCATCGGCGTTGCTGCCGACAAGGTCGGCCCCTACCAGCTCCCGGCTGCTGGCCGCCCCTGTTGGTTTCTGCGCCAGCTCAGGGGGCCCTCCTCCACCGCCATCACCGCTGCCACTGCCACCACTGCCACCCCTGCCGCCACTGCCGCCGGCGTCGCCGGGCGACGCCCGCTGCCGCGTCGACCCTGCCGCCTCCTGCTCCGGCGGCGCCTGGTGTACGGCCGACAGCCGCCGCTCCGCCGCCAGGGCGGCTGGCAGGCCTCCTGGGTAGTTATGGCCTGGCCGCGGCGACTGTGGCGTGAGCATCTCGCAGCCTCCCCTGTCGCCATCTGATGGTTGCTCCCATGCCGCACCGTCCCAACGCTGCCCGCCGGGCTCACGAGGGCCCCCACGGCCGGCCTCGGCGCCGCTGCTGGGGCCGACCTGGGGCCCGGCGGCCTGTGAGGGGCGTGGCGGCTGCGGCCCGCCGCCGTCGCACCCCTCCTGCTGTCCATCTGCACGGCAGCCCTCCCTCGCCTGGACCACCTCACCCTCTGCGTCCTCGCCTTCCTCATCGTGAGCCGCGGCCGCCTCCACCTGCTGCTGCTCCTCCCCCTCCTCCTCCTCCACGACCATCCCCTCCCTCAAGCCCCCTGGGCCCTGCACCTGCGCGAGGCCGCCGCCGGCCACGCCCGCCTGCCCGGCCCCCGCCGACGTCGCTGCGTCCTCCGCTGGCGGCGCGCGACCCGGGCAGGACAGGCCAAACTCCAGGGTTCTGGCCTCCGCCGCGCCGGCCAACCGTGCGCCCGCCAGCTCGCAGCCCGCGTCCCGCAGCGGCCCCGTGATGCGGCCCAAACTCATTAGGCTCTCGTCAAAGGACACGCCGCACTGGCCCCGCGTGTTGCGGCGGAGTGACGCCATCGCCGCGGGCGCGGCCGGCGCCGCTGTGCGCAGCGCGGCCTCAGCCGCAGCATCCAACGCCACAAACCGCACCTGCACCCGCAGCGGTGCCGGCAGCGGTATCGCACTGCTGGACAGAAGCTTCCTGGCAACATCTTTGGACAGGCTCAAGAATGTGGTGCCGTTCACTCTGCCCAAGGTTCCAGGGATGGGGCGAGGCTTTGCATTGACAGCCAGGGGGATCCAGGCCGCCGAACGCTGATGGTGCAGCTGCTGCTTGTGCTCCTGCTCCTGCTCCTGCTCCTGCTCCTGCTCCTGCTCCTGCTCCTGCTCCTGCTCCTGCTGCCGCTGCTCCTGCTCCTGCTCCTGCTCTCGCACCTGCTCCTGCTCCTGCCGGCCCCGCTGCTGCTCCTGCTCCTGCTGTTCCTGCTGCCGCCGCCGCCGTGGATCTACGACATGCAACCCTGTGGCTGCGAGCACTTGCCCAGTGGAAGGGGGCAGCGTCGTCGGCAGCGGCAGTGGAGGCAGTGGAGGCAGCTCGGGCGCCGGCGATGCCTTCCTTGTTGTGGCGTTCTGTTGAGGCTCCTTGCTGAAGGTGCTGGGTGCGCTCAAGTGCCCCTTGACTGCATTGCAGCTGCTGCATACACGCTGGCGCGTCCTCCTGCGCTGCCCAGTGGCCCCAGGGGCGAGGGCACCGCAGGTGATGCAGCACGCACCTTTGGCTGCGTCGGCTGCAGCCGCATCATTCAGGGGGTGCCGCTGCCTTGCTGTGGCTGGTGTCTCATGCGGCACTTGCTGGTGCCGCTGCTGCTGCTGGTGCCGCTGCCGCTGCTGCTGCTGCTGCTGCTGCTGCTTAGCAGCGGCCATCGCGGCCCCAGCTCCACCCACCACGGCGATCTCCAGGAGCCCACCTGGCGCCGCCGCCCACCTCGCGCCGGCTAGCATGCTGCCAGCGGCGCGCAACCCGCGCAGCGCGGCGTTCTCGACCGAGGCCTCGCCGCTGACTGTGTAGAGGCTGTACCGCCCCCCGCAGCGCGCCAGGTTGAGCGCGAGCAGCGCCGGCGGCCGCAGCGCGCGCAGCGTGAGCGCCGCGGGGGCGTCGATCGCCGCGAGGCGGACCCAGATGGGGAGCGGGGCGTCGAGGGGGAGGGACTCAAGGTGCAGGCCGGCGGCCGCGCAGGGCGCGAGCGGCAGGGGCGAGGGGTTGCGAAGTAGGGCCCACGGCCGGCCGTCGGGCGACAGAGGGGCCCAATCCGGCTGCTGCTGCTGCTGCTGCTGCTGGTCGGCTTCGCCCTGGCGCGTGGCCCCCGTGGCTCCAGCATGGGCACGCGGCGCGCTGCCGCCGCGTGGAGTGCCTCCTGCGCCTGCTGCGGCTGCCGGCACCGCGCTCGAGCCGTGCCCAGTGGGCCGCGCGGACTGCGGGCTTTGCTGAGCAGCGCCGAGGCCCCTCAAAGGCCCGCTGGCAGCAAGCGCCTTGGCCAGGTCCCTGTCGCAGCCGCAGCCCGTGCACAAGCGTCTGCGCTTGCTCCTGCGCTCACCGGCGCCTTCAGCGACCAGGCTCGCGCCACACGCGGCACACCGCAGCGGCGCTTCTTCCCGCTGGTCGTGGGCCGCTGCGCCGCGGCTGCGCAGGACATCTGGCGCGCCACGCTTCCCCCTCTGCTGGCGTGCTTCCTGTTGCTGCTGCTGCTGCTGCTGCTGCTGCTGCTGCCTCCGAGTTCTCGGCAGCGGCGAGCAATCCTGATCCTGGAAGGGCGTCTCTGCCTGCTGCTGTCCTTGCGCCTTATCAGATTCCGCCTGATCTTGGTCCTGCTTCTCATGCTTGACCTCCTGCGCCGGTTCGTGCTGCTGGGCCTTCTGGTGTGGCTTCTGCGGCTGCTGATGTGGCGCCTGGTCACGCACAGCCAATTGCGCTTCGGCTGATGGGCAATCCCCCTCCAGGGGCGACCGCGATGCGCTCAGCATGCCGCCTGAGATCATGGTTGCAAATCAATGGCGACAAGGAACATTTGATGCATCAATATGGAACACAATGGCCGCAATGCTTGGGCTGCGATCTGCATGTTGCATGGGCGGTGCTGCTTTGCAACTGACAGCTTGGGGCAGGAAGCACACCAGTTGCTGGTGCCGCCTTTCATGAACCTGACGGCAGGTGAGACCCCACGCACCCTGCGCATGCGCGCCACCGCATGCTAGCCGCTCACAACGCTGCTGCGGCTGTGCGCGCTGAAGTGTATCATGCTGGATCAGCGCACCTTGACGCGTGAGTCCCGGACTGTCCTCCTCGCTGTGCCGACTGCTCTGCCGCTGCTGACAATGGCTTGATTGCTGCTAGCTCTTCCCTTTTATGTCTGCGACTTCGCCCGCTCGTGTCTGAAAGTGCACCTAGACGCCGTGCAGCGGGGCAGCCTATCATAAACTCGGCGCAGCCCGCACTTGGATCATGCACAGTTGCCTCTCAGTGGTTATTGCTGTGCACCGGCAAGCACCCTATTAACAATGTGTGCTCCTTGCGGTCAACTTGCACTGTGCGGAACCCAACACGTCCCGGCCAGGTTGGGCGGGACGCGGGAGAGAGCGATCTCTGACAAGGGTGTCTTAATCACGTACATCGCAGCAACAAGATGAATGTGATTGTTCAATCAGGCTTCAGCATGTCCGGTGGCGAGTGGCAGGCAGCGCCCTCGGTGCCCCTTGGCATGCTACGAAGAACCTGCCCGTGCTGTTGGAGGCCAGGGATGCGGTTGGCGTTGCATGCGTGCAATCGCATGGGACTGGCGCGCAGCATCATCAGGTTTACAAATGCTTGCTAGCGCAGGAGGCCTCCCACTCCCTGTGGAAAGAGGGGGGGGGTCAAAGGCTTGCCCATGCTCATGCGCCTACAGTGCAACTGAAATCAAGGGACGAGAGCCCTTGCATGCAAAGTCCACAGATTGGCCGCGTTCATGGAAGCGGGTTGCGTGCATGCAGCTACAATCTTGAATGTGGACCTGCCCAGTGAAAGGGCTTCCCCTTCAGTCCTGCCCTTGACCGCTTGCTTGACTACGGCCACGAGTGCGGGTTGCTCTGCATGGAGCACTGTATTGGCTTGGGCGCTTTGCCTGTCTTTGCATGCGTCCCTAGACGGTCCAAGGAGCAACATGACTGAGGTTGTGCAGCGCCTCATCAGTGGCATGAGGGATGAAACGTGGGCAGGCCTCTTGCGTGGTGCAGTCAGATTCTCCGTTGCGCTCCTCCATTTTCTTGGGGAGGCAGCGAAGCTGTAAGGACGTACTTGTGTTTATTGAACTAATCTTCTATCATAATGGCGCGTGCTCACGACCCGAAAACCTGTAGATCGATCTATACACCGAAGTTGCCATCTCCGCTCAAGCTTCATTCTTTACAGTAGAGATTGAAACTTCACATTGGTGTACAGTATTTGATGATGCCGACTTGCTACCGGCCAGCCTGGTCCGCCGCAGCGTCGCCGGGTGTTACCGCCTGGCTGCTACGGGGAGGCCGTGCTAGGAGGATGCCAATTTGTAGCAGGATTGCGGCAGAAACGGAGGAGCGTGAATGCAGTACCAGCATTGTCTGTTTACCACCTAGCCGAAGCAGCAGCAGAAGTACTAATAGCGGCAGTGGCTGTGACATGACGCGGCGAGGACTGGTGTTGCTGCCGATGGCCACAGCAGCGGCCGCCGCTATCATGGTCGTTCCAGCGCCTGCCGCAAGTGCGCGCGCTTCGGTGGATCAAAAAGTAATTCAGGCCTTCAGGGATGCCATGGCGGCCCAGGGGGACTTTGAGGTGTGGGGGCGCTGGGCTGCGGTGTGGGGTCCCTGTAGACGCGACTGGGTGTGTTCAAAGTATAACGGGCGGTTTGAGATGTGAAACCTTTTGAGGCGCAAATCCTGACGCTTGTACAATGCCAGGCAGCTGGGGTTGGTTGCATACTGTCGGCTGGTGCAGCCGTTGCATGCCGTGTCTCAATCAGCAGCGAGGCAGCAGACCAATCCATTCAGTCGCCCATCGCTGGAAGCAAGGATCCCACATCCATGCACACCCGCAACCTGCTCTTCCCGCGGACTTCTCCCCCCTCAGGCAATGGAGCGCGCCTGGACCCGCGCAGTCGAGCTCGCCCCAGAGAACGCCGCCGCGTGGAGCAACCGCGGCACCGCGCGCCTGCAGGCGGGGCGCTGGCGGGACGCCTACGACGACCTGTCGTACGCCCTGCAGCTGGAGACGCGCGCGTTCGGCGGCGACAACGTCGCCGACGGCGTGAGCGCGCTGCTGCTGAATCAGCTCGCCAATTCTGAGGGCGCGCTGGGGCGCTGGGAGGTGAGGTGCCGCCCGGCCCCTCGAGTTCGCCCGGGTCGTATTGGTGACAGCCGGCCGGCCGCCCCAGACGCGGCAAGCTCAAGGTGGTTGGCTGGTGTACTGTGAGGGTTCCACATGCTTGGCAGTGCTGCTCTCAACCCTGCCTTGCATGGCGTCAACCGCACTGCACCCCTTATCGTGCGTGCACACATGCATGCCTCAACCATGTTAATCGCAGGATGCCATGCAGCACTACCGCATGGCGGCGGAGGACCCTGAAATGGAGTCGATCGCCGGTGAGCGGCGGCGGGGGCGCGCGGGTGGCTGGGCAGCGCGGGGAGTGTACAGAGGAGGCGGAGCCGACGCCATTTGCTAGCGCCCCGGGCGGCCGCGCCTTGTGTTCCCCCAGGTGGCGTCAGAAGACAGGCCCTGCGGCTTGTGCTGGAGTCACCCCTGGTCAAGCACTCGGTGTGCCACGCGCCAGGTCCCAGCGCATGGCCCTGGCAGCAGGGTGATTGATGCTCGCTGCTGCCCGGCCATCGCCCTTGACCTCCCACACCTTTTGCCCACCACGCACGTGTGGTCGTCGCAGCCGCAAACTACGCCCTGGCCGCCTTCGAGACCGGCAGGCAGCAGCTGGCGGTGCGGGAGGCGCGACAGCTGCTCAGAAGGTGCGCAGCCCGCCCCTCGCGTGTGGCCATGGGTAACATGCAGTGAAAGTGCCAGCACAGGAGGCAGCAGCTGCATCAGCTGGAGGGATCTTATATTGCAATCATGCCAATAGCAGCAGCCGGCATTGTTAGCATCAGTCTTCAATAAAGGCAACCATCCTTGCCAGCTGTCTGTTTACGGTACACCCCCTCTCAACCCCTCTTGGTGCGCAGGGACCCCTCGTTTTTGGACATGAGGGCGGCGCTGGTCGCCTTCCTATGGGCCGGCGGCGAGCCTGCCGCGGCGGAGGGCGAGTGGGAGGCGCTGCAGCAGGCTAACGGCGGCCTCGGCTCCGCGCTGTACGGCCGCGCCTCTGCCGTGGCGCGCGTGCGCAACCGCTGGCCGCCGCGCGCGACGGCGGCGCTGGGCGCGTTCCTGCTGCTCAGCGATCGCGGGAGCGCAGAGGGTTATGACGGCCAGAGGCACGAGTATGTCTTCGAGGCGGCGCGGGCGGGGTGAGGGCCCCCCTTGGAGGGGCCCTGGGCCACGAGGTCAACCATCCTTGTAGGATTGCAGCTGACCAACTCCTTGTGCCCATTTGCTGTTGACACTTGTTCGTGCCAGCGCCATGGGCCAGGCAGCCTGCCCATGAGAGCCACGTGTGTCTTGCGTTCTGCACATGAGTTGAAGTCAAGTCCAAGTCGTTCGGCCGCGGGGCTTTGTCCAATGCGCCCAAAAATTGAGCTCGGCCGCAACCAGGTGGTGAGGCTTGGGGAGAAATCTGTTTGCGGTTCACAGCCGCCCAGCAGACGGCTATAAATAACAGCTGGCAGTACTGGCGGAGCAAGGCGGTGCGGGACACGAAAGCCAAGTCCTAAAGTGGTTGGTGTGACACACACACCACGCAGCTTCACGTCACCCGGCGCCGGCGTCACCGCACAGCTGAGCTCGAGCTGCCCGGCAGCCGCGGTCTGGCCAACCCTGCGGGTAGGTCGGCCTACTTGTGAGAGTGCGACGCAAAAAATTGCAGAGTGTCACGCAAATTTTACGTTCTCTTCTTCGCATCTTTTGAATTCCACTGTACGGTACTCTGCCTTTGCTGGCCTGCTGCATCGCATCGATCCACCAAAGACGGCACCCCATTCCGTGCGATCGACTCTCGAGGAAGAGCAGCAAAGATGTATCGCCGTGGCCTCGCGGCTCTAGGTGGGTACCATGCAGTATCATGTGCCATGCAGGAAGTTGACAGTGTCCAGTGTGGTGCATCCACACTTGTTTGAGAGCTTTTCCTGCTCGAGCTGGCACGTGCCGAAGCAGCTCTAATTTCCAGACACAGCTGCTGCTACGTAGCCCTCAAGCGCAGCTGTACTGCTTGCTCTACAGTCACTACCCGTGTACTAACCGGCCTCCACTCTTCTACCCCGTCCCCTCACTCACACAGTCCTATGCGCTCTCTGCGCCGGCAGCGCGCTGGCTTCACGCCCGAACCGCAGCCTACTCGCCGCGGCTGCCGCCGCCGCCGCCGCCCAAGACGTAGGGCAGGTGCAGATGCAGGGGGCTGTGAAGCTGCCCAGCGGAGGACAGATGAACTTGCAGGTGCAAATGCAGATGGTCGGCGACGGCAGCGGCGGCGGTGGTAGTGGCGGCAGCTTCAGGGGCAGCGGCGCGTACCGCGCAGTTGCGGGCCACCACAACCCTGGGAACGACATCGCCTGCGGCCAGCGGCAGTGGAACGGGGCGGCCGCCCCCTGGTGCAGAATCTGCGGCGGGCAGGACAGCGTGGAGGCGGCGTGCAACAGGAACGTCCAGTGCGTTGCTTATGATATGGAGAGCGTCGAGTGCGGCTACTTGAAGCGCGCGGCGGGCCCGCTGGCTGCCAAGAGCGGCTTTTACAGTTTCATCCGCCAGGGCGGCAGCGGCGGGGGGCAGCAGCAGCAGCAGCAGCGGGCGGGGCGGCAGTTCCGGCGGTCGGACGGCAGCCACATCCCTGGCAATGACCTTCCCTGCGCCCAGGGATCGCCCTTCTGCCGGGTGTGTGGCCCGCGCGCCGCTGTCGAATCGGCATGCAACGGCACCCCTGGGTGCGCTGCATATGTGATGGACAATGGCGGGTGTGGCTACCTGAAGCGCTCCAGTGGGCCGGTGCAACCCAAGGGCGGGTTTACCGCCTTCACGGCCTGATTGCCTGACACGCGGGGGGCGCTGGCAGCTGCTAACTACTTGGCTCGGCGCCCAGCGTGCGTCCTGGTAGCATAGGTCCCCACAATGCGGCCGCAGCTTCTGCCAGCTGGATCTGTCGCCTTGCAGAGGATTGCGCCGCTTGCTTACTTGCTGTCAGGAGCGTTCATTTATTTTGGACGGGTGCCTTGCACGAATGAGAATGCTACTGAAACGAACACTCAATAAATGTGTTCATGATGGGTGGGGGCATGCATCAAGGTCTTTCATGATTTTTTTGTAGTTTCCCGTAAATAGCTGGATGCACACAGTCTGTAGAGTGGCCCTGTGCCTTCCTCAAATCTACCTTTGTGTAACTATTCTGCGGTATCCAGGATTCGTGCCTAGGCACTTGACAAACACCCCACGCCACCCTGTCCAATTGACTGCCCTTTAACCTTGTTTGCCACCCTGTGTTCATTCCACAAACTTGCTCATCAACTTCCCGAAAATTTGCTGTGTCCTGCTAGCTGCAATCGCTACTATTTGGGCCGTGCAATGTAAAGCAAGGACGAGCGACTCCACCCTGGCTGTCGCATGGTCACATCTTGGACCCCTGCCCTCTTCAGCGCCTCCACCGAAGGTTTGGCAGTCAAGGACCAACTGCCTGTGATAACCGCAGCATTATGCACTAATAAGCTATTTGATTCTCAGCGTACACACAAGGGATGGGGAGATATGCACAAACAAAACACGAACAGCTGCCAAGGTCCTTGAGCACATGTCACCCCTGTGCCTTCACGGCCGACCCTGCCCCTGAGCAGGGCCACTTGCATGTCAAGGTCTGCAGAGCAGAAAGCCCCAGCGCTGAACCAAAGGGACAACGCCAGGCGGTTGAACATAAACTTTGCGCTGTCCACGCTAAGCACGCTTGCAGCGTGTTGTGAGGCACCCGTTGGCCGCCGCACGCAAGCAGGGCATGCCGAATCAGCAGCCTTCGGCCCTCGGTCAAACGTACGCCGCCAGGTCCATGGCATTCAGCAGTGTGTGGCGCAACAATGGTCACACAATGCGGCTTTAGATTGCCAGCGTGATACAGTGAGGGGCGTGCTGTTGGCGCGGGCGTGCTTGCTGGCGTTGTGCTGTGCAACAACGAGGAAGGGCACCATTGCATGATTGTGGCAGAGTCACGGTGGTAGACACGGTGCTTGAATGTCATCCATCCCACACATACGTACAACGTCACAAGATACATACATGCGCCTTGATCTGCGCGCTCAGATCACTTACGCACGTGTGTCAAGGTCTTAATCCTTCTGAAGAAGTTTATCGCACAATCTCTATGGACGTGGATGAGGAACCGGGATCTGCGGGCGCAGCTGAAGCCCGCCCGGACGCTTCGGGCAGCAGCTGCGTCGACTCATTGCGCATCCCGCAGCTCGAGGCGGTCGCCATAGAGTTCCCTGGCTACATCCGCAACCCCGACCGCGCCATAGCCGCTCTGGGCGGATCCGACGAGGTCTCAGCTGCCCTCGGAACACAAAGCACGGAGCTGAAGCTGTGGCTGCGCCCGCACGACCCCCTGTGCCACCCCATCTTCGCCGAGCGGCACGGCACGCGCGCGCTGCTCTTGCGCGTCTCGCGCCCGCGCAGCAGCAGTTTGGACGGCGATGCACACGGCGATGTGGAGGTGACGGTGGCAGCGGCTGTGCGCTGGTCCTACCGCTTCAGGGGCCTGGCCGACTTCCAGTACCTGCCGGTTGACCCCAAGGCAGCTTCCCGCAGCTTCTCGTCCCTGCCGGAGAAGAACCGGCCCGAGAGCGCAGAGGTGTACAAGACGCCGCAGCCGCTGCTGCTGGTGCCGCCGCTGTTCTCGCGGGCGGACATGCCCCTTGATTTCGCGTTTGGGGACGGCGGCGCAGAGGGTGCGTTTCGACGGATTCGGGGGCGGCGCAGGGACTTTGAGGCGTGAATGCGTGTCACCGCGTCCACAATTTGGGGGCTGCCTCTAGCGGATGCATCGGCGCAGGCCCAAACAGCAGGCCTCGCGAACCGGCCCCTGCTCCTGCTGCGTTCGCGAAGGGCACACGGGCACGCAACGCCGCGCCTCCAGCTCAGTGCGCACCGTGTAAGGCAAACATGCTCGCGCCCTCCTCCCACACACACGCCCCGCCCGCGCCCCCGCGTAGCGTCCTACGCAGACGCACCCGTCGGCGGCGGTGAGGGCGCGCTGCGCGTCATCAGCTTTTACGACCCCGAGACCCCCCAGCCGCTGCAGCTGCCGCCGCCCTTCGCCTCCCTGGAGCGCCCCAGCCCCAAGGCGCGGCGGCGGACGGGCGGCCGGGGCTCTGCATCAGGAGAGGGCGAGCAGGAGGAGGAGGGGGAGGAGGGGGAGGAGGGGGAGGAGGGAGCGGAGGGCGCGTCGTCGCCGCGGCGCGCTGCGGCGCGTGCGCTGCTGTCGGCGCTCGAGGCGGCGCTCCGGATGCGGCCAGTCTGGCCGGCGGCGGCGCTGGCTCGGCAGCTGCCAGAGGGGGCCGACAGGGGCGATGTTGACGCGGCGCTGGCGGCGCTGTGCTATCAGTTCAAGACAGGTGGGGGGCCCTGCGCCGGCGCGAGGCAGCATTTTTACTCCCGCCCCTGGACGGTTTGACGCTCGCTCACGCCGACGGTTTTGCCCGCCCCAGCCGTGCGCCTTGAGCCTGGAGCGCAATCCGTGCGTTGCATCGCGTTACTCAATCCGCCACGCCGCCCGTCTGCGCTGGTCGCTCGCCGCGGCCTCCGTCCCGCATCAGCCGCGCCACCCAGATTGCTCGGCCGTTGCCGCAGCACCGCCCGGTCTCTGCCGCAGGGTGCATGACTCCCGCCTCGGCTGCGTGCAAAGGGTTTGTTTTTCCTCGCCCGCCACCCCTGCTGTCTGACAGGCCCCTGGAAGCAGCAGCACGTGCGCTGCGGCTACGACCCGCGCGCAGACCGCGACGCGCGCCGCTACCAGGCCGTGTCATATCGCTGTTCCAATGAATGGTGGGCCGCCGCTGGGGCGCGTCGGGGCTGGGGAAGACGGAGCACAGCGCAGCGGGTAGCAGCGCGGGGGGAGGGGGGGGGAGAGGGCGGGCCGACGCGGCGCGCCGATACCAAGGAAAGTCAAACGCGGTCAATCAATCGGCTCGGCGAGCCGGCAGACATGTACTGCCACTCCGTGTGCTGCTGCCACACATTCTGCCGACCGTGTTCTGCGGCCACACATACTGCGGCCCCATTCTGTCGCCCTATGCGCCGCAGCCCCATGTACTGCCGCCCCACGCGCTGCAGCCCCGCGCCAACCCTGCCCTTGTCTGCTGCTGCGCCGCTCAACCGCATTCAAACGCATTCTGTCAGGCACGAGCGCATAAAGGCGGCGCGCGCGGCGGGGGCCAGGCTGGCGCACCCCAGCGATGAAGACCTGCACGCGTGAGCGCTCCCTTCCCCCCGCCCCCGCTGCGGCTGTTGTGTGCGTGTTGACGCCTGGCATGTGCTTGCGCGCACGTCGGGTGCATGCTTGGGGGCTTGCATGGGACAGAGAATGTGTGTACGTATGTGCGTGCGAGCCCATATATAAATGTCGCATGCGTAAGTCACAGTGATTAGGATGGACCCACACATCCCTCCTCTGCAGCTGAGACACACCGCTGAAAAAATAATGGCGTTCAGTTTGCAATGGCGCGCCACGATCGATCAAGCCCTGACCCCTCCACTCCCTCATTGCAGCTTCCGCGCCGTGCCCGTTAGCCGCACCACCCAGCTGGTCCTGGATGACGTCGACGACGAGGCGACCCGGCAGCTTCTCGGCAGCATCCCGTGGCCCGAGCGCGCGACCGAGGCGCACGGCTGGCTGTCCCACTCGGGGCTGCAGCAGCTGACGCGCGCGGTCGCGGCGCGGTTTGCTGAGCTCATCGCTTCTGGGTATCAGCCGCGGGTGGTCGGGCGTGTGGCGGTGGGGGCGGAGGGGGAGGAAGAGCGGCCTGGGACAGCCGCGGATCAAACAGGGGCAGCAGCAGCAGCAGCAGCAGCAGGAGTAGCAGGAGCAGCGGCGGCAGCATCAGCGCAGAGGGCTGGGCGGGCCCCGATGGACGTCGAC